ACGAGCTGGTTAACGGGCTGGTTGATTAGCCCGTCAACGGGCTGGTTGACGAGCTCGTTAACTAACGAGCTGGTTAACGAGCTGGTTGATTAGCCCATCTACGAGCTGGTTAACGAGCTGGTTGATTAGCCCGTCAACGAGCTAGTTAACGGGCTGGTTGATTAGCCCGTCAACGGGCTGGTTGATTAGCCCGTCAACGGGCTGGTTGACGAGCTCGTTAACTAACGAGCTGGTTAACGAGCTGGTTGATTAGCCCGTCTACGAGCTGCTGACTGATGAAGCTGTGATCTTGCGTCTCTCAGCAGCATCTCTCAGGACGATGACTTCGTCTTCGAGGACTTCGCTCGCCTGCGGCTCAAAGGCGTCGTGGACGACAAGGACGAGGACTGCTAGGAGCTCGCCAAGGCTTCACGCTCGCTTCAACAGCACACACACACACACACACACACACGTCGCAACACAACAAAATACACAAACACACAAACAACACAACACACACGTGCGCGGTTACATTCCCCCGGCCAAGCAGGTGGACGAGGGCACAACGGAACGCCGTTCTTCCTCTCCTGCTTCAGCCGCCATCTTTCCCTCTCCATCCGTGGTGTTTTTCTAAAGGTGGAAAACACAGCTAGTGGGCGGGGCTTAGATCAGGAGAACGAATCGGTTCGCTGCTTTGGTTCTGAATGTTTGTCGGTCGCTGTCTTGTACAAAAGAATCTATATTTGAAAATAAGAAAATCTTCTGTAATCACTGAAGTCACGAGTTCAGAGGCCATCAGCTACGTTTGTTTTTGTTTTTGTTTGTTTCCAGACTGAAACTCACCAGCATCATCTTCCTCCTGTTTCCTGTTTCCTGTYGTTCAAATCTTCAGATAATTAATGAAATCAGGACGTCTTCTCTCTGAGGTCAGAGTAAATCTGTCAGCAGCTTTTAAAAYGTTTCCCTGAAAGTTCTCTGAATAAAACATTTCTAATCTCGATGGAACAGAAACCAGTTTTTCAGCTAAAATATAAAATAAGCTAAAAACTTCGGCTGTTTTCAGGTTTCAACTCATCAGATGTAAAAACCAGAMGTTGAATCAAAGATTCAATAAATCMTTTTATTTCCTGCAGCTGATTCTGTTAAACGTTGTTGTTTGTTTTAAACTTCCTGTGAACCGGTTCTGATCCGACKTAGAGTTCAGGTTCTGTTGGGTTCACGAGTCCAGTCTGTCGACCCGTTTGGACCTTCAGCTGCTTCTGGTCCTGGTTCTGTCCATGAACAGAACCGTCTGCTGCCAACAGAACCAG